TATCAGGTATTCAAATTACAGTGAAAGGAGAGTAAGCAATTAGCTCTTCCCACAACTTCTTGTTAATTTATTCTGTAAAGACATTTAAATGCCAGAAATGCCACAATGAATCTCAGAATTTCTTACTTAATAATGAACTGTTCAACAATGAAGTACTTAAAACTAGAAGAATTTATTCATGGGATTTTGGTTTGGAATTAATAAAATGTATATTAATGTAGGATGTGCTTTAAAGAGACTTATTTAATAATTGTTGTTATTTGCAGTGGAGGACAGAATTAATTTTTTTCTCCACTGAGAGGGTCATGGTCACATACTTGTAATGTTCAGAAACTGCTGAATTGATCATGGAACTGTCAACAACACACTGATGGAAACCACTGACTGTATTGAGCACAGCCTTGGCACTTCACGTGACAACATTTACAGAAATCATTTTAATGCAAATAGCCCATGATATTTCATTATAACTTACCAGGTCCGCCAGTACATCATCACCATATCCATCCAGTAGATCTTCCTCACTATCATAAATGTGGGAGGGGGGGCTGAAATTTCTTTTCTTTTTCAGCGTTTCTCCTCTAAATTCCTTCGCATTATTCAGCCCTAAAGAACACAAACCATATAAACTTATGGCAATATGTAGGACTTATTGTATTTACTTATACATAATAATGCACACTTAATTATTCATTAATCATCTCATCATTCAATGCTATATAGTCTTGAGCAACTGACTACATCATTAAATAAACCTTGAATAAAGAAGTACCACTGCATGGATGTTAAAATTCTGAAACTCATGTGAACTGGCCAATACAGAGCTGCCAACCCATTTTTCTTCAATGACAGGGAGAGGGTTAATACAATGCAATGGCTTGCCATATTACACGTGTGCAGAATAAGTGTCAAAACAAATCTGCACAACCATACCTCCATTCTTTTGACTTCGTAATGAATAATTTTTGGTTTTTCTTGCACCAGTCTTCGTACACCAGCTGGCAGATGCAGATTTATAAGCAGGTCTTTTAGACTTGTGTTCCATTTTGCTTAAAACTCTGTCCTCTTTGGCCTTCAACATGGAAAAATACAACACACCAAATACAGTAAAAACATATGCACCTGCAGTCACATGTCAGGAGATGTAAGTATACAAGTGTAGACAGGTTGACACAGATTTTCCAAATTTCAATTTGCATCTTTGTTGTATGCATTCTTCTGTTTCACTATGTGGTATTATTATATGGCTGTCAACATAACAGTCTCCAAATTAATAAACCAATATATCACTGTATTAACATTTGTTATTATTCTGTTTTTTCTGTGTGTTTCAATCTAGCTGGATCATCATCAAGTAGTTTTCATGATACCTTTCTCATTGTTGGATTGTGTCATAATATGGAACCATATTAGTAATTATATTGAGATAAGTAAAGTTAACAATTTATGTGTTTCGTCATGTTCCTAAATTGATATTGTAATATCAGTATAAGGGTTATAACGTTAAAGCATTGTTACTCAAATCTCTATTGAAATGTTAAAATTAACTGTTAATTATTAATTAGATTATGCTGGAATTATCTTTTAAGTAAAGTGAATGCCCATGGTGATTTGTTGTTGCACAGAGGATATTTTGTATCTTGGTAGTTGGCATTATTTTTAGTCCATATATGCGTATGATATGTGGGTGGTTACTTGCTTGCAAATGATGATACAAGCTATATATAATCTCTGTACAGTCCTTTCTATGGTGTCGTGGATAGCTGTGGTAGGATTATTATGTTTTTGGTGTGTATGTTGTGTATTTTGCGTCTTGTGTGGAAATATCACTTCTTTCCGTTACACTTGGTCATCGATTTCTGACTGACAGGTCATAAGTCGATCTGGTCGTATGTCGGCTATATATTTATTAACAGTTTTTTTAACCTTTCTAATCATTTTATCATCTTTATAATTTATTTTTAAAAACTTTATATTTTAATCATCTTTTATGTTAGTTTGTTTTTTTTTTTGTGGTCGTAAGTCACATAGGTTGTAAGTCAACGACCAAGTGTATTGTACATTGTGGTGGTTCCTGTTCTATGATTCAGTTTGGACTAACCGATCTTTTGTGTCACAGATATTAGATTGTTGCGTTGATGACCACATAATAATATTGAATTTGCATGCCTCATTCACCTTAATGTTCAGATACAAATCTGCTATTGCAAAGTTAATCATATTACAGATGCCACACTGCACAATGAATCTGTTTTCCTGTATTTTATTAAACAAGCACCATATCAAAAAATAAAATATTTCAAATAAAAATACTACATTTTTGTGCATGCATGTGTGTGTGTTTGTACATGCCATTTTCAGAGTAACTGATAGTGTTCAATTTGAGCTTTATGTAGAGTAGGGGCTCTATTAGACTGATGAGAAAATCACAAAATAATTTTTCATGTAGATTCTGAGTATCAACATTTATTTCAATTTGTTCTATAGTTTTTGAAAGATACATGTAGACACATGGGCAGTCTTCCTTATATGTGTTAATTTCATGCATTTTATTGAAAGAATCCATATGTAAACAGTGGGTACTCTTTGAGCTGGTCAAGCAGTGCAGTTTTTATGGAACCCCAAAATTCTGCTACCATGCTGACAGAAATCCATTAAACCCCTATCTGAAGCACTCCTGTCCAGGTCACATCTTCATCTGTTTAACTAAGACCTCTTCCTATCTCTGGTGTTTTCCAAGCAGTGCTACCCTTGAGACTTTCCAAAGCAAATTTTACATGCATTTCATGTATTCCTCTATGTAAGTTACACACACTACTGAGGGCCAGATTACCACTTAGTGGTTAAGTAGTCAGTAACTTCTAAGTGTATTCGTTTAAGCTTTTAGGCTGCAGACATATAGTGATTATATTTACCCCAAATAATCTGACCAGAAATTAAATATAGGAAGTCTTAAATGAGAATCAAATGTTTTATCCTATCATCATGCAGGGCTTCTCTCATTGTAGCCGTTACTTACTTCAGTAAATGTACCATCTGACAAGGTTTCACCACTCTCACAGATTTGCATGTACTTCTCTTTCCCATTCAGCATGAGTCTTTTCTGCCTTGCATTGTACTTTCCTATTGATAATGAAATGCAAATAAACCTTACAAACTAGCTGCAGTGAAATGTCATCAGAATGAACTCTAGCTACTGGAAAAACTCATATCATACCTCAAGCCTCAATATGCAGAGTGATTCAAAACTTCAGTACCATACTTAAGGAGGCTCTTGGGAAGTTCAACTGGAGAAGAAAATGTACATTTTTTTTTTTTTTCATTTTTCAGTTGACCTAATCCTTCCAGCTTCACTAGGCCCTGGGGTTTACTCAGCCTCTAACAGAAATGAGTACCAGGAATTAATTAAATAATTTTCCTGGGGAGTAAAGCACGGCCGGCGTGTAAGGCTGACAACCTTACCGCCATCTTTGAGCCAACTGTCTAGATAGTGTGGGACCCTCAATGTCTCACGGCCTGGGACAGGGATAGCTTTACTTTTTTTACCTCTGTTTCAGACTTAGGAAATGTTTACAGTGATGTGATTTTGTGTTACTGTGATTGCTTGATGGGAGCTCCATGCTGAGGGATTTTGGAAGTAGATGGTGAAGAACATTTATCAGACTTGGACAGTGGTACCAGTAACAAGAGCAGTGGCAACAACAAAAATGTCTATATTCACTAATGTGGAATTTGTAGATAGGCATTTTGTGTATGATTTTTGTGATGGAAATTCTCGTGCTGCGTGAAGGGAATATCAGCTTGAATATCCAGATTTGAGAGAACCTTATCAACATGTGCTTAAAACTGTGCATTATAGCCTGAGAGAAACAGCCACTCTCATGTTCACATTTGCCATGAAGGACATAATGTACAGAATGAGGATTTACTGGATATCATATACAACTTACTGACCAGCATTCTTCTGCAAGAGGAGTTTCCCGGAGAGAAGTATGGTATACTCTGCATATACAACCAGTGCAAGGGCTGCATCCAGGGGACAAACATCTCCACCTCTAGTTCTTGCAACAGGTGCTACACAAGATTGTGGACACCCCTCAGTTTGTGTTGTGGATTGATGAAGTACTTACAAGAAGTGGTGTGCACAATCCACACAACTTGGATGTATGGGAAAAGGAGAATCCTCATGCTGCTCATCACTTCTCATTGCGGCAAAGATTCAATGTCAACATTTGGTCCATAATTGTAGATGATTATTTAATCAGACCGAATAAGGATAATCTTGATGAAGCACATTATGCAGATTTTCTTGAAGAAACACTTCTGCTTTTATTGAGAGATGTACCTCTACATGTGCAAGAGCATGTGGTTTCAGCACAATGGCACCCCTCCCCATTTTACACAGGGTACACAATTGGCATGACAACTTTCTGGATGGAAAGATTGGAAGTGGATGTCCAATTGCCTGGCCTCTTCATTCTCCCAATTTGACACTCAAAGATTTTCGTTTGTGGGGATGCTTGAAGGAAAATGCTTGTACCATGGAAATTCAGGATCATGACTAACTTATCGCATTGAGGCAGCTGCTGCAAACATATTATTTTTTTTTACTGTTAATGGGGTGGGACTAAGTCCCTTGCACTGCGGCCTATTGTACCAGCCCCAGATGATAGGTGGGGGTGATTGTGGAGCAATTGGTGGAATGAAGATTGGCAGGGGAAACCGAAGTACTCGGAAAAAACCTGCCCTGGTGCCACTTTGTCCACCACAAATCCCACTTGACCAGACCTGGTATTGAACCTGGGCAGCCGCGGTGGGAAGCCAGCGACTAACCGCTTGAGCTATGGCGTGGCCCTGCAAATAGTAAGTATCTTCCTAGACAACTAGTTATTTTATCATATTATTCACTTTGTAATAATGGGTCACAGTAATACAAAAGACATCAATGGACACTGTAACTCCTTAGCAGTCTCCTTAAGTACTGTATTACAGCTTTGAAACGCCTTGTATTTTCCATACATATAAGTGCGTCATCAAAAATATAGGCATAAAAATTGAAACTGTAAAAAAGACTGAAAATCTGATAGTTTGACCGGTGGATGTAAAACACCTGTTTTCACAAATATTTCATAGTATGGTAAAAAGATATCTTTGAATAGTTCCTCTACAAGTCAAGTGCTATTACTTATCAGAATGTGAAACATTTATGGTTTGTTTAGAACAAAAATTCAATGGGATTTAACTTTGTAATAAAAACTTGGGCATATATGTGAAGGCTATTTGGAAGGTAACCTCCAATGAGCTGTTAACAAAACAAGCAACAAGAAAAAAATTATACAAAAAATACATACATACTTAAGCTACTTATCAATATAGTCACTGCCAGAATTGAGGCTCTTGTCTTATCAGGGAATAGTTTTTTGTATGCCTGTGTCAAATAAATCTGTCACCAGTGAGCTCAGCAATATTTTGACATCTTCCATCAACTCCTCATTATTGTTTAAGTGCTGTGATCCCAATCTACATGTAAGAACTGACTGTCAGTCGCAATGTGACTTGGACTACATGTAAGGAGGGTGGTAAAATGCTCCAGTGTGAGCAACTGTATGCAGATGCGCATTGTCATGGAGGAGCACTACACCGTATGTCAGCATTCCATGCCATCTGTTCTGAATGGCAGTTTTTTAGCATTTCACAACACACTTCTGACGTTATTTTGGTCCCTTGTTGGATGAATTCCACCTCAGCACTTCTTTCCTGTCCCAGAAAACAGCTACCATCATCTTTCTGGCAGACAAAGTCTGTTTAAACTTTTTCAGCTTGTCTGTCGAATGTGCGTGCATCCAATGCTTTTACTGCTCTTTGGTTTCAACATTCACATATGAAACCCATGTTTCATCACCTGTTACTCATATGATGTGCTTGAGAAATTCATTGCCATCTTTATGATATCCGTCTAAAAAGTTAAAGCTGAAGCCATTCTCTGTGTTTTGTGTGCACCCATGAGCTTTTTCAGAACCCGTCTTATGCAAAACTTGTGATGATAACATAGCCTAACTGTAGTAATCTCATAGAGAACAGTGCATGAAAGTTCTGAAATTGAGAAGTGTTGGCTTTCACAAATTTTTGGTCAATATTTTGAGCAAAATCATCACTCACTACAGATGGCCGACCGCTGCACTCTTCATTCTGAACATTTGTTCACCCCTTTTTTAACATTCTACAGCATTGTCATATAATTCCTGCACTCATTACATTTTGGCTGTAAACAGTGCATAAGTCATGCAGATTCCTGCAGAACTCATGTTTTTAGCATGGAGAAAGTGTATAACAGGGTAAACTTCACAGCTGCTGGGATTATCAATCACAGGACACATCAGAACTCACTCTGTAGAGACAAGGACAAACACTAGCTGATCAATTATGTGATGGTTTACAAGGCAATGAGTCATGTGATGCTACCTCGCATGTGTGAGCTCTCCCCCACTTCTACATTAGTTGCCTAAAATAAACTAAGGTTACTTTCTTAGTAGCCTTCATAGAAATCATAGTTCAGCATGTCTATGGAGTTAAAGTTTTATAACAAAGGGGCCTCTACATTGCACATACAGATTGACCATGATTGACGTCAGGTGACTAATTACACAGTTAACAGTAAATGAATATGAACAAACAATTGTACCTTCAATTGCTCTCCTTGTCTGCCATGCTTTCATGATAGCTTTTTGCTTCTGGTCAGACTGTGGGCTGTGTGACATAACTGCCCCTTCTTCTTTGGGTGTCCCCAGCTTGCTTTTCTTTACATGTGTAGTAATATGTCTGGCATGTCTCCTCTTGGAGAGGGGCAGTGTTGCTGCTTCAGGTGTTGAATGTTTCCGCTTCTGTAATGTATTCAGTTATTCAGTATAGAGGGGGTGGGTTTCCCCATGCACCGCGACTAATAGTCTATTGTACGTCCCCCTTTAACTTCTACTGTCTCCATACCCTACTGATACTGGTGCCCGCTATCTCCCCTTTCTGCCAGCGAGGTCGGCCCTCTACTGGCATTGGTACCCGATAACTTCCCCATCTACCAGAGGCATTGGAAACTACTTGGGTGGGAAACTTTTTGCCTAATTTTGCTCAGAGGTCTCCTAGAGACATGAGGATCTTTTATGTGCCGTAAATCTACGACACGGGACCCACGGCTTAAAGTCCCTCCCGGAGGACTTGTTCCCTGAATTTTTCCGCCCTTAAAAATTCCACGACCTCCGCCAGGTTTGAACCCGCGTAACTTGAGTCATGAGGTGGGAACGTTACCCCTAGACTACGGAGGCCACTTTTCTGTAATGTAACAATCATACTATTCAAAGAAAGCAGGTTCTGTACCATTACTGCCACACTATTGACTGAGGAGCAGTTCCAGATATCAACTAGTGTTTTCAGTCAATACTTACTCACTACTGACATATTCCAAATACAAAATCATAATATAGGATCTTTAACAAATTCCTTGATAATGTGGCAAAGTTGAAAATCAAAAAGATATTCATGAAGAAATTAAGAGCAGATTAGATTTGGGAAATCATTCAGCTCTGAAACTTTTATTTTTCTGCTTCGTATATATAAACTTATAGATTAAAATATGTAACTTAACATTCATGTAGTGTAACTTGAAGGTTAAAAACTGCTAATACCAAAGCCTAATTCTCAGCCACCACCTCTCACCATTACAAACTGTCTCGTCTCTGCATCCTAACTAAATGCTCAACACATTGTAGCCTATATATTTCACTACCCTAGGATACTAGGCAGTCTGTACAAATCATCAGGTTTCTTGTTACGTGTTCTTCTCACAATGTGCTTGAAAGGAATGCATATAGGGATACCCATGTTTCACATCAAGAACTGCTCTCAAATTTTGATGAAATTTCATGTAAATATTATACCACTGGAGGCCACTCCAACCTCTTACTTTTTAATTTCTTATATCAAGTAATAACAGTATGGTGGGTGCTACCAAAATGCAGTAACCATAATGGCAAATTTTCAAGCTTCAAGATAGTTTTATGTGTTCCAACATGAACTATTGTGTAGAGGAATACACAGTCCATATGTTGTGCAACTGACAGTATTATTAAAAGTTAGCCAGATGAAACCATGTTTAAGATCCACTTTAATATAAATAATAAAAAAAAAAAAAATGTTTTAACATTGCCACAGATTTTGAATATTTGATAGATAGACTAAAATCTACATCTGAAAATGTTTTATCTCAGTAACAGTACCTTTCCATAGAAAGGAAAGTACACTGCAAGTGCTTAATAACCAAATAAACATTTCTGTAACCTTCTGGGATCCACTACTGGCAAAACTCTGGTTCACAATAACTTTGGTGACTCCAGCTCTTGGAGAAAAGAATGTGGGCTGGTCATTTTGCTGCACAAGCCTCTCACCTGCAAGAAAGAAAGCATAATAACAAGCACATAAGTTCACATTAACTTTCTGAATGTGTACAGAAACGTATTCTGTATTAAAGCAATGAGCAGTAGAATTTATATTTCGATCTTTTGGCTTGACACTGTGATCAGCTGGTGGTTACTAATGGTCTGCAGGAACCTGCTGCCTCCATTTAAGGCAGATACTTCTTCATTTTCAAGAAAAGCCTTCATTTTATAACATAAATACTGTACCGTAATATCTTTCACTTTCTTCCTTTCATATTATCTGCACTGTCTCAAGGCAGTATGTTTCCCTGAAACCCATCATTCTACATGGTGTCATAACTCTGAAGTCAGTAATCAAAATCCCTTAAATATCTGCTAAAATGCTGATGAAAAACAGGAACCGGGATAGCATAGTTGGTATAGCAACTGGCTACAGGCTGGACAACCAAAGAATCAGAGTTTGAGTGCTGGTGGTAGCAAGAATTTTCACTTCTCCATGTCATCCAGACGCTCTGGGGCCCACCCAGCCTCTGATCCAATGAGTACTGGGTGTTCTTTCCTTGAGAGGGCATGAAACTGACCATTCTGACCATTCACCTCTGGCTAGTGCCAAAGTCAAGAAAATGTGGATCTATAAATACACTCCTCCATATGCCTTCATGGTGTAGTGCTTAATTAGTTAAGCAACAGGGACAACTTTACCTTACCATTTACAGCTGAAAAACATATTTTTCTTTCAGATTGAGGATTTAGGGTAACAAGTTTCATGATGAACAACACTGATCTCTTCTTGAACTTTTACCACAGGTGTTCACATTATAATAAAAAGTATATATTAAATATATGGCATTTTGAACATGCATGTGAAGTTGTCTTTTAAGATGGAATGACATGTGCTATTTAGTTAGGGCTTAATTAATGGCACTACCAGTAACTCAGATTCTATAGTAATAAAATGGTACAATGATGGGGAATAATGAATTGGAAAGGATATGGAAGGAAATAGTTGTAGCCTAATTTGCAGTGCTAACTCAGGCTACCTACTAGACTGCAACATTTAGTGGAATATGTAATGAACACCATGAAGCAGACCAATAGTCTGGAAAATAAAAGTAAATACTGAACAAGTGCAGAACAATATTTTGAGAAAACACAAATATCAACAAAGAGGCACTCTACACAGTAGCTTGAAATTTGAAAGGATAATATTTTCTGCCCATACATAATACAGTTTGTAAATATGTCTTTCCAACTGGTTCTGAAACTCAGATGCAGATTTTGAGAAAACTACCGAAACTTGTGTCTGAAACAAAAGTCCAGTTTCTCACTTAAAACGAGTAACAGAATTCTTAACACTAAGAAAATGCTGCTGGATCATCAAGATGTCCATCATAAAAATACTAACCCTGAATATTAGTCTGATGAAAACATAAGGACAAAATGTTGCACAGACACTGATACTAACAACATAAGCAACTTACCCAACCAGTACCTCACTGGTGGAACAACAAGCCGTCCCCTCGAACTAGTTTGTATGATCCCTCGGCCATCCAATTTTTTCAGTGGAATCAGAGACCCTGCCCTGTATGTCTGCTTCTCCACAGCTCCTTTTAATATAAGAATATCCACAAAATATCAACATGAAACCATTAACTGGAAGGGATACAAATGTACAAAGAAATTATAAGAAAGTTGTTGTAAATTCACAAGTATTACAAGAATTCATGGCCTAGTAAAAAGCTTTATAGTTTCTCTGTAGTTTACACCTTAAAATTAACAGAAATGTTCTTTCCTATGACAAGGAAGGGTTCAGAAGGATAGCAGTATGGCTCCTAAGATACAAAATTCTTTATGAATGTACCTTCATTAAGACTGCTGTTTTCATCTGATGCAGAGACATCATTAGCAGTGACAGTCTCTGCAACAAAAGACTCATCATAACCAGCTATGTGTTTAGTACTCTCAATACGATCAGCTTGGCTTGTTACAGAAGTTGTTTCTTTCTTCTGTTTGGCTTCTTTCTCTTGTCCATTTACTACATTCAGTAACCTGGCCCACTTTCTTATCATCATCTTCCACTTATAAGGCAGTCCTTCATGTAGCAGCTTCTGTATTGGGCTTGGTATGTCTATGGAAAAAGATATCATGTATATAAGACTCTAGCAAATATTAATTATGAACATGTCAACATTTCACTCTTCAAGTATGTTAAGGATTTAAATTAGTTTGGAGTTTAAACTATGAAGAAAGTGCCTATTGTCTCCTTCCAAAAGAAGCTGTGATGAATATTATCCTTATACAACTCTTTATTGACCATCACAACACAACAAACAGAAAAATCAAGGTCAGCGCCCAGCTATGGTTTCGCTACATGTTTCAGCCACTAATGGCCATCATCAGGCAAACATATGTTAACAAACATATACCACTGAACTGCAGTACATTAGATTGGATACAATGTTATTAATCATTTAAAATACTTTGCGTAAAAATACAATAAATCAGATTATAAACAACTAAAAGTTATTGTACGTGGCGCGTTCCATATATAAGGCCTCCTATTTTTTTGTGTTAATATGTAACGTCTGAGATGGATGTTGGTGGTGTTGTAGTAAAGGTTGAACCTTCCTGCCAATGTACTGTTAGTTTGGTTGTCATGCAACAGATAGCGACAGCAGAGCAGCCTACCAAAATGGTGTCTGACATAGAAGTGCGTATGAAAGAGAAATGTGTTATTGAATTTCTCACTGCCGAACAAATTGTACCCATTGACATCCACTGACACTTGCTAAAGGTGTATGGAGACAATACAGTGGATGTCAGCACAGTGATTCGGTGGGTAGTGCGTTTCAACAGTGGCGAAAGTGAAGTGCACGACAAGCCATGCCATGGGCGTCCCTGCTCAGCTGCCACTCCTCACAATGAACAGCGCCTCATCCGAACAGATCAGCAGATAACGACCAGGGACTGTCAATTCTGAATGCTGAAAGACGATGCTGACTAAGCTGAAAGCCTGTATTTCTCGAGTCAGGCCAGAGAAGCAGATAACCTTTCACTTGCAACAAGATAACCCTAGACCCCATACCAGTTTGGCGACCACCGCGCACATTGCAAAGTTTGGCTGGACTGTCCTACCACATCCACCTTATAGCCCCAATTTAGCACCTTCAGACTTCCATCTCTTTGGGCCTATGAAAGACGGACTACGTGGGCAACATTTTCCGGACAACGATGCTGTCATTGCAGCTGTAAGAAAGTGGCTAGCCTCTGCTGGCGCAGACTTTTACACGCACGGTATACAGGCTCTTGTTCATTGATGGCAAAAGTGCATAACGAATGGTGGTGATTATGTGGAAAAATAGCTGTAAGTAGGTGAAATCTTGCTATATGTATCTGCATTATTATGATTTCTGTATCTGTTGTAGTTTTCTTTAAAAAAATAGGAGGCATTATATACAGAACGCCCTTAGTATAAAACAAGATAAAATTGATGTTATATAACATCGAATCAGTCGTTGATATTTTACTTTTCGTACGTTTCCATGGACAAATTGGAAATTATATTTCTTTTATATAAGAATGCATAGGAGGCAAGTAAACAAGAACTGAGTTGTTGTTTACTTTCCACACAGTACGGACAATTGTTCGTAATATGAGGCACCGACTATACAATTAATTAATTTGCAACATCATGGGCCTCCTATGCATTCTTATATAAAAGAAATATCGAATTTCCAATTTGTCCATGGAAACGTATGAAAAGTAAAATATCAACGACTAATTCAATGTTATATAACATCAATTTTATCTTGTTTTATACAATAACTTGTAGTTTTTTATAATCTGACTTATTGTATTTTTATGCAAAGTATTTTAAATGATTAATAACATTGTATCCAATCTATTGTACTGCAGTTCAATGGTATATGTTTGTTAATATGTGTTTGCCTGATGATGGCCGTTAGTGGCTGAAACATGTAGCGAAACCATAGCTGGGCGCTGACCTTCATTTTTCTGTTTGTTGTGTTGTGACGGTCAATAAAGAGTTGTATATTGTAACACAACAGGATGCATGAAATCATAAATATTATCCTTCATATGTTTCAATTTATAGTGAGGTTAATGGGAAATTTAAATAATCCAGTGCAGCTGTCAATGTCTCTGCATAATTTCCTTTAGAAATACAGGTATCCACTGCATTAAATAACCTCGAAGTCTCACTGTGTTTGCAGTCTAAACATAAAACAGTTTCACACAAGGCTTATGAAGTATACTGTGGTGCATATACACATTGCTAGTCAAGGACTTGTTAAACAAGCCTGCAATGAATATGCAACCAACAACAGAGTAAACCCATTGCAAGGCAACATAGGCAACAACAGAACAGGTGTTGCAAGAAATGTTTTCTATGTGGGTCCATGCCACGCCAAGTGCTAAGCAACAACTTGGTAAACACATTCCAATGAATACACAACAGTAGAGGACGTCCATTGCTAGGCAATGGACGTGTTTTCTGTGCTGTTGTCTGACTCAGGGTATATAACCAGAAACCCAGGCCAGCCAGACAGCATCACAGATCAGAATTCAGGGAGTTGGCAGTAGACAGTGATAGCAAGAAAGGAATTAGACTGTACCAAGAAGACTTAGTGTGTGATTTGAAGAGTGTACATATGCTGTAGTTACAATAGTATTTGAAGTTACAGTGAGACTGATAAATCTACTGCCAGGGAACAGATAGTGAAGACTAGTGAAAGCACACCAAGAAGATTCAGTGTTGAGTGATTTGTAGTGTGAGAATCTGCAAGAGTGTTATTCTTAGTTGTGGTTATAACTTGTGAGTGAACAATAAATCCAATAACCAACCCAAACCCCAACTATAGTCACCAATGCGAGTGACAATATGTATGACCTACTTCCAAAATGCCATGGGTGTACCTCCAGTGATTTCCAACTGGATACCTGAGGCACACCAATGTCACCTACTGGAATGATCAATAAATTGTGATGTGACTGATATGAATTGTGCGCCCATATATACATACAAATATGTTCAGTTGAAAATGTGACCAAAACCTACATGCATTTTAGTATCTAAATGTAAGGTAGTTGAACATGAAGATAAGCAGTTAGCCATTATCATCCAGGAATTGGGGATTTAACCCCCCCCACACACACATACATACACACACACACACTCTATGGTGTTAGTTTCGAAGCTATGCCTGCTGGACCTGCGAATGTGCCATCAAAATAGATTATGATAAAGACAAACAATAAAGGTTAAGGTTGAAAGTACAATTTATCTGATGGTCCAAAATAAATTCTTCTTTACCTTGTTAACTACTCAAAAATATGGAGGGAGACATATAATTTGTGTATGTTAAATAAACCTTTAATGAGCTATTTGTGAGAAATTCTATGAAATACTCGTATACCCTCATCACTTAATATGATAACAGCACTCTTTGCTAGTCCGCATACCTCACTGGCATTGATGTTAATTGCAAAGTGCTGATATCACATTACGTAGTCAGAAATTATGTTGTTAAATAATCCTCATGTAAAAAAGTGAATTAGATAAACTTTTTAGGTTTTAATCAGATCCATATTTAATGTATTTATCTATTAATTTTTGTGCCAAAAATAATTCTTTAGACACTCAAAGCTTTTTTGAGCTTTAGTTAAAGTACGGTTATTAGAATTAAAATTTATATCAAACCCATAACAAAATAGTCATAACAGAAGACATCAGAAATAGAGAAAAGAAGTAACAAGAAATCATAAAGAAGATTGTGGGAAGATAATATCTTGAAGACATTTCATCCAGTGACCCATATAAAAAGCGAAAGGAGGGCAACAACAACACAAGGAGGGGGGGATGATGATAATTTAATACTTCCATGAATATCCCCAATAATACACAATATGAGTAACTTACTGTGTTTGTGATCTTCAAATGGGCCCTGTAACTTGTAGGCAGTCCCATCATGACACACAAAACAGTCAAAATCTTTACGTCGTACAACTATACCAGTTGTATGGAACGCCTCTGAGGAACAAGTGCTGACAATAAAAGCAAATTACAACTTGTTAGGAACTGCCCGTGAACTATTATTTGGATGAAGTTAAAAATGTCACCTCTGCCAAGAACTGGAGCCTCTTTTTGATTCCATATAAGACTTACCTTGCTATATCATCAAGTACATCCCCAGGCATGACGACTGTACCAGGACAAAAAGAGTGCACTTTTCTCTATTTTATTCCATCACCACAATAGGAAATATGGACACACCATACATTCATCATTTCTTACATGTTTCAGCTCATTAAGCCAACACCGGGTATTCACCTGCATTTGTCTGCTAGTATATCTCTACATTGGCCAGTGTGTACATATTGGACTACTGGTTTTTTAGTAATATGTAATGTTGTTGTATATAAAAAAAAGGTGTGTTTGCCTTAAAGATTAAATATTAATTGTTAAAATGTTGAATCATTAAAATATATTTACATAGCACACTGTAGGGATTTGAGCTCTCAAAACCTAAGATTATGTTATTTGTTTCAGTTTGATGTATGATGTACACACAATATGCAAGAAGTAATCTGCAGCCACCACCAGGAACTTCCTCAATTTTCATGTAATTCCTGAAAACTATTGTGAACCTCATGCATCAACCTTGACTGTCTGCACAGATCTGCCCTGGTTTATTGACTGCTCAACATGAAAGCTGTCTGGCCTCTAACATTTTAACTTCTTTCTAAAATTTTAATGAATTTATAGACATCTGCCTTAAGCGTAACATCTCATTTCCCTGTGTTGCAAGCAGAAATAATAACATACCTTTGTAAATATCCTGTTAATTTTAATTTGCCTGGTTTTATCAGAACAGGAGCCCATCTATGAAGAACATGCAGGTTCAACTGTACAAAAAAAAAAAAATAACTTTACGTTTAATCAGAGAAGAATTATCTTTACCAAGGGACATCAAATATAAGAAATCACAATATTAAATTTCCGTATTCACACACTTTTTTCTGTTATGGATGGGACACTGGCCACACAGGAAGACATAGTGTGAATTATTCCACCAATTATAGAAGAAAGAAACAATAAGTTGATTCAGGGTTTTTTCCAATTAGGTGACACAGCCTTAGACCTATGAACAGAGTCCAAATTCCATGACACCTATGAACAGAGTTCCAAATTCCATTACAAGTCATGTGTTACAAATTAAGAAGACTGGTGTGGGTGTACACCATAATGTAATACACAAAATTATCATGGTGTTTTTTGACATTTCTTAAGCATAGATACACAGTATGTCCAGGTTCGGTTATGACTGTGTTCATTAAAAATACAAGACGTGAATTATTTTTAAAATGTCACTCTTTTTATTCAAAATAGTCTCCTTCTGAATCAATACATAGCTGGAATCGATTGAAAAGTTTTTGAAAACAGTCACTGTACTCCCTTTGTGGAATCGCATTTAAAACTGCGGTACATTCCCTTTGGATGTCCTGGATAGTGTCGTGACGGTCTCCTTTCATCGCCAACTTAACTGCTGGGAACAACCAGAAAACTGCTTGAGCCAAATCTGACGAATACGGAGGATTATCAAAGACAGTGATCCCCTTTCTGGCCAAAAAATCATGCACGATCTTCGATTTGTGGGGTGGGGCATTGTCGTGGAGGAGTGACCAGGAACCTTGTTCTCGATATTCAGGTCAAATTCGAAGAATTATCGCCCACAAACGAATGAGGACTCTGAGATAATAATCAGAATTCACTGTTTGACCTTCTGACAGAAATTCCTTGTGAATGATTCCTTTGGAATCGAAGAAACTGGTTAGCAGTGTCTTTTCTCAACTCTTTTGCATGTGCACTTTCTTTGGTTTCGGCACCTTTGGGCTCAACCAGGCTGCACTCTGCCGCTTTGTGAGAGGCTCATTTTGAAAACACCATGTCTCATCACCAGTAACAATCGATTTTGTAAATTTTGTATCACTTTGGGCCGACTGTAACATGTCTTTGCAGTGTTCTACTCTGGCATGTTTTTCATTGCTTGACAGCGCATGACGTACAAACCGCGCACAGACCTTCCGTTTGCCTAAATCCTCGGTCAAAATTTGAGGCACAGTACTTTTTGGTATTCCCAAAAGCTCCTTGATGAGTCTTGCAGAAACACATCTGTCTGATGCAAGGATTTCGGTTGCTTCTTTTCAAATTTTCTTCAGTGCTACTTGTTCTCGGCTTTGATGTACGTGGAGCGTCTTCAATGTCCTCCCTGCCATCACGAAATACACCATACCATCGAAAAATGTTCAGGCAACTCAAACAATGACTACCGTACACACTTTTCATCATTTTGTATGCTTCTCTGGCTGTTTTGCCTAACTTCAAACAAAATTTGATGTTGCCTCTCTGTTCAACCGCCATTTTCCGACGAGGGTCAGAACAGTACTGTTACATTCAAGGTCTGAAGACATGATACAGCGATGCTTGCACTTTGAAATTATAGACAGCCACAGTTGAATCTTCAAGAATCTTAATGCCACAACTCGCCAACAGATGGCATTGCAGGGCAAAATTTAAACAAATGAGTCTTAATGGATCCTGGAGACACCGTGTAAGTATGAGTATGAAATGAAAATTTGAGAGTCTCTTATATCAAATTCAATGAAATCTGTGGAAGAATTTGTGGGATACATGGAAAAGCCCATTTATGGTCTTGTAAAAACTTAAAACTTTATTATGAATCAATAAGGTAAAGGTAAAGTTTAATTAATTACACACCATGTCATGAAGATAAATGGTGGAATGAAGGTATAGCTCCACCATTCTTGATCCTTGTTCTAGATGGAGGTGAGTGGTCAGCTTCATGCTCTGCCTGCTTTACCCCTGGGTACCCATTGGGTAGGAGGCTGTGGACATGGTCTAGACTAGTGGTTATCAACCTGTGGTCCGCGAGTAATTCAAAAGTGGTCTGCAGGTTAGTTTATTTTCGTTAAATTTTATCTTATCATGTTCCTCACACCTGGGATATTTGCAATGTATATCTCTGGCTCTTGAGGCCCATGGCTGAAGTAGAATTTAACGGGATGGTTGGTACCATAACGGTACCTTCCCTTTGTAAAGCAGAGGTGAATAACTGACGATTTGTGTAGCTTTTTCCAAAGACATTTTCTTTTGGTCCACCCATTGCATCTCAGACCCGTCTTTCAGGGTGGACTGTTGTCCTTACCTGCTGTCTGACCAGTCTCCCCCTCCCCCCCACCAAATCCATCCCTCTTTGGTTGGGAATAAAGCTGGGACCATTGACCACGTTTCTTATTCATTTCAGTGGCAGAGCGAACAACCTGTGTGTCTTTAGTTTTTGTGCAGTGAATTTTTATAATATTATACATGTGTGTTTTTCTCAGTTTAATGGTCAGTTTTTCTGCTCTTGTGCAAATAATTGAGTTCACAACAAAACTTCTGATTTTCAGTTTCTTCACGATCTTATTTAGATATGGATCGGTGGTTAAAGTGTGGGTGAGTGTTAAATTAATAATATTAGGCCTAATTGATATTCGTAATCTTCCAAATAAGCCCCATTTATAACAGTATTTTATTGTCATAAATGACACATTTAGTGTTGTAAAATTTTAAGTTACTGCTTTACTTTTATGATACGTAAAATATAAAAAATTTCCATTTTGGGTTTTATGGGGGCCGCGGTGAATTAACATTCGGTACAGGGGGTCCGCAGCATCAAAAAGGTTGGGAAACGCTGGTCTAGACTGAATAGTCTGAACTTCATCTTGGAGCCATAAACAAAGCTGCCATGGCCCATCTCATAGCAGATTAGGGCACAGTAAAGACAGAGCATCACCATCTGGTTTTTGTCCCAAGACTGGGAACTTCAGACTTTTAAAATGTCAAATGACTGTTTACGCTTCACAACTGTCACAAGTGAGGTTAAGAAGGCCTAGAAACTTTCCAGCTGGAAATGGCAGAACACTGTTGTAGAGGAACAGTTTGGGGAGGAGGATGTAAACCCTGAAGTCTTGTCAAGTGGATATACTGCATTTTTACTGAGGAGAAGTAAAATCCATTCTACAGAGTGACAGATGAGTGAGAGCAATCTGTAACCTTCATGCTATTATAACTATGCTCTGGGAAATGTAATACATTGCAGTGTCATCAACATACAAGTACAGTGCTGCTTAGACTGATGTATTAGCTGCACTGTCCATAGCATTGATGGCAATTGCAAACGGGTACATCTGAAACCAGTATTTGTTACACTCTGTTTCCTTTTTGATAAAGCGCAGAAAAAACATAGGATTTTTGCCAGTAAAGGATCCTTAGGAAACTGTATTGTTAAGTTGTGTCATACACCTCAGAATTTAAGAAGACCACAACAAAGTGTTGGAGCTGGGCATGTAAATTGTGTAACTAGAAATTCTATATGAACAGTTCCTTTATACCTTAATAACTACAAGCATGGTGATGGTGTGATGTTTGAAGCTATAATCTTACAGCTGTAGCATACTGAGAATCTGTACTAGGAGAATGGTATGGGATGGAGGGATTTTATGAACACAGTGATGAACCTCTGAGTTCCATAAACGCAGGGAATTTCTTGACTATCGGAGTAAATATCAGCTTCTCAAGGAAGAACTGTATGATGGTGATAGTAAATTGTACTCACCAAGGCACTAGTCTCAGCAGCATTCAAAACTGTGTTAACAGGAGTGCATGAGTGTCCATCAGAAGTACCACAATTTGTCAGTGATTGAGACAATACTTTTTTAGTGACTGGAACAGAATTTGGTGGATCTACAAGTGTCACTTCTATGTCATTTGACTGCTTGTCACATTCTTCTACTATGTTGAAAGTCGGCTGTTTTAAACGTACTTTTGTTGCTTTAACACCTGACTGCCTGCCATATTTTTGTACAGCAGTAGAAATTCGTGTTAAACATACTTTCATTTCTCTAAAATTTGATTGCTTCAGACTTTCTTGTACTGTAGTAGAACTTGGCTGTATGACACACATTTCTGTTCCATCAACATCCAGCTGCTTGTCACCTTCTTGTATCATGGTGGAATTTAGTTGCTTTACACGTACTTCCACTTCTTTACAATCACACTGTTTACCATGTTGTTGGTGTACTGTAGATTTTAAATGTGACTTTCCTACACTTTTCACAGCTATTGATTGTGACTGGTTGGCAGAAAATGATTGCACCATAGAATTTAATGCTTGTGAAGGTACTTCAGCACCCCCTCTTTCTTCAACAGGCGATGAAGTCTCTGTAGAAATTTTGTTCTTTTGCATTGTTGAATTCTCTCTGCATTCTGAAGTACTTTCACATGTCCAACTGAAGTGACATGGGCTCCCTATAAACCAATGAATTATAATTTTACAGAAGTCATTATCACTGTTCTATTCACATATTCAATTCACAAGCACAAATTGCTTAACCACTAAGTGCTTAAATTTCCCTACATGTTAAAAAAATAAAGTGAAATTGTCTTTTATTATCACAAATTTATGAATATACCAATATTTCCTTGCCTGCAGGGGAGACACAAGCAAATCAAATCAAATGTATATAAATTTCCATGTACATGTGTTGAACTGCATGGAAAAGGCAATGGAAATTACCCACAAACCAAACTGTAATTGCTTATTACGTACAAGTAACATTAGGAGATGGCCGCATCATAGCTCAAGTGGTTAGTCACTGGCTTCCCACCGTGGCGGCCTGGGTTCGATCCCGGGTCTGGTCAAGTGGGATTTGTGGTGGATAAAGTGGCGCTGGGTCTGGTTTCCTCCGAGTTCTTCGGTTTCCCCTGCCAATCTTCATAATCACCCGGGGCAGGCTACAATAGGCCAAGCAGTGGCCGCCATGCCGAGTAGACCCAGTTGGACTACACCCCCCACTAAGAGAATTAAAAAAAATTAACATTAGGAGATTGAATTCTGTGAAATGCAACAATGTTTCTTAATAATAAAATTTAGCCTTTACATGTTTCAGCCAATGATGGCCATAATCAGAAGGTGACCAGCGCTTCAAAGGAAATGTTTCACGTGTATTATGTGCATGTCTTGTCTCATAAAGGCTAAAAAAAATAGTTTTTAAAATATGCCCCGTTAAAAAATTTTTTTGATTGATAATTGTTGAGTCCCAGTGATGGTCATATTCCTTCCCAGTATGTCATCTGTATCATGCCGTCTTGTGTGTGTGGGTGGGATTGTGGTGTTGTGTGCAATGTGTTCTGGTTCAGCAAACAACACCACAATCCCACCAACACAATACAGACAACCTACCGAATCTGTTTCTGTCCTCAGATGAGGGGGCAGGACACCTATTCTGTTTGGTCTCTTAGAAAGTGCTAACCTCAATCAGGTCGTGAGGACAGAAACAGTTCCAGCTTCCAAAACACTGTCTTTGCTAGTTCTTTTTAAAAAACAGATGATGGACAAAGTCTAAGAACCCAATAATTCTGAGTTTCAATTCACTCGTCTGTCATTCACAACAATTTCTTACTTTCTCCCTCCTGTCTCTTCCTAACTCCATTCTAGCTATACTGTTTCTTTCAAATCTGGGCAACCATTTTCTATCTGAACTCACCCTGCATTATGTATTTCTTCCACATTAATTTCACTTCTTTCCAGTCATCGGGAAATCCACATTGAAATTTGTTTCGTACATAACATGGCAAATCTGAAATTGTAGAGACACCAGATTATTTCTTTCCCATCCACACTTACCAGCTGCAATGCTATGAAAACAGCATTCACACATATTTAACCGGTTTCTGCCTCTCTAACCATCTCTTGGTCTTCAAGTTGTAAGTAAACACTGCCTAGTAGACCACAAGCTGATTTACTTGGTATTATTTTGCAGTTCCCTGCAGGGAACATGCAAAATCTTTTACGTTACACCCCGGTCTTTTGAGATGTGCATGAAGACTGCCAGCAAATACATCACATTTTTATGCTTTATTTGTCCTGTCTTTATTATTCTTCATGAGGAACAAATACAGAAATATAATCTGAAGGATCAAACTGGACAGAGATTGCTGAAGTTTACTTCAAGACTAGTAATTTTTTTTATCCAGAACAGGGAGAATCATGTACTACATGACAGAAATTCAAAAAGACCCTTTTAATTCAGGCTGAGAGCCAAAATGGGAAACTTAAAAACCAGTCAAATGAAGGTTAAGAATAACTTTTGTTGTCCTTATACATGAACTACTAAATGTAAATAGTAATGACATAATATTCAGCATGTCATCATATGGAGGTAAAGTCACAAATTTGGTGGCAGAAAGCTATCAAAAGTGGACACATAGGAAAGTAATGACAGAAACCTTCCAACAGAGGACAGGAAGGCGTTAAAACTAAAACAAACAGTGAACACTTAAGAATTCACAGTTTGGTACTAAATCTCATGTAAATTTTCAACAAGACTCATACAACAAATTTAAAATTTCCTCTTTTCCACCAGTGTGATGGCTGCTACCAGGGCAACCCAGTCACCATTACAGAGTGTACTGATATTGGATATGTCTAGGGTGTGTCTAGGGTGACTGCATTTTTGCGAGCGGAGTGTCTTGGAGATCTCAAAATCGACTGTCGAACTGCCTCCACATTTTCAGGCGTCATAACGATCCGTTGTCGTCCTGATGATTTTTTCACCACAGTCACGGTTGTCCTAAAGTTCTCTACCCACAAAACAATCTATTTCCGGTCGGGAACCGGACCTCTGGGCTTAATTCCGAAGTGAGTACGGAAAGCATGCTGCACCGCTAAGTAGGAACGGTTGTTCGAAAAATAGGGTTCGACAGCAAACGCACACTGCTCACTCATCCACCTCATGTTTCCTACTGAGGGGTATTAGACAGAAACTTCCACGACTGCTGTGTTCGTCAAGCCTATCCCCACCTTTCTGCGACCTCCCCTCCCTTCAAAATGCCTCTTCACAAAAAGGAAAGTTTCTGTGACCCACCCTGTGTTACTTGCAATGTTAGGTGATGCAATGAGACAGAGGTCATGTGGAAAGTCTGGATAAGCTGCATTCAGTATCCATTGAACAACACCTTGTTAGATCACTGTGTGTTGTCAACTTTTTTTAGAAGTAAAAATAAAGCATATGATGGAACAGACAGTAATGTGAAATTTTGTGTTAAACTGCAGAAACCGTCAAGTGAAATGTCAGACATGTTAAAAACAGTTCCTGGTGAATCTACTAAGAGCAAGAGTAATGTTTTAAGTGGCAAACATTTCAGAGAAGGCAGAGATGTGAACAATGATGAAAGGCAAGGTGCTCTCATAACAAAGTGAATGGATGAAAATGTGAAAATCAAGGTACTTGTGCGATCTGACAGTTGATGAGCCTGATATGAGCAAAGAGACTATGTGGAAAATTTTTAGTGCAAGATCTTGGTATGAAAAAGTCAGCAGTGAAGCTCATGACATGAAACATGACAGAAGAACAAAAGCACAGACGTTCACTTTGTTCATGGACTTTGCAGAAAAACTTCAAGAAGATAATATTATGGATCATGTCAACACTGGTGATGAAATGTGGTGTTATCAGTTTGATCCCAAGGCCAAACACCAGTACATGGTGTAGAGATCAAAGAATTCCCCCAGGCCAAAGAAGACACGGATGTCGAAGTCCGAGATCAAAACATTTTTGATCTTATCATGGATATCATCCACTTTGAATGTGTACCTGAAGGGACCAACGTTAATCACACATTCTATGTGGAGATGTTGTAAAGGCTTATTTTTGCCATGAGGCACAAGTGAGGAGAGTTGTGGAGAGATCACTCATTGATTCTTCATATTACAACATGCTGGCACATTCTTCACTTCAGGTATTGGGGGTGTGGGAACATCCACATACTAACACGTGCTTTCGCTGGTCTAACAGACAGCACTCAACTCCAAGTCGATATCACACTGCTGCCAGCACTCGTATTTATACAGCACTCAATGTCCAGCCCACCTGTAGATCATCATGTGTGCTAGCCAATCAGCGCTCACAACCACAACTGCAAGTTTAAGTTCTGCCCAGCAATCATGGTATAAAAGCGGAGCCCAAAGCTTGCAATCATCAGTGATCACATTCAGTCATCAGCTGTTTACTGCGCAAAGACAGCTGCCACAACTCTCCAGCAACCACACTCTGTTACCAGACAGCTAACGTAGCTGCCGCAACTCTCCAGCAACCACACTCTGCTACCAGACAGCTAACGTAGCTGCCGCAACTCTCCAGCAACCACGCTCTGCTACCAGACAGCTACAGTAACTGCCGCAGCTCTCCAGCAACTGAGCCGAGACAACGGCTCAGTCATCAGTCGCACCATAGGCAGCTGTTCCTACTGGCGCACGCAGCACCAAATCACCGGCTGGAGAAACCAGCTGAACGGCCGTAAAGACTTGGTCTACTACAAAGGAGCAAATTCTGCAAGCACATTCATGGTGGAACAAACTGCCCTTTTCAGGGCCAGCCAACTTTTGCACATCGACATTCCACATAGCTTCGTAGCTATTCTGTACATTCAATGTATACAATTTAATATATACAATTGTTACAGTTTTACATGGCTGTCTTTTAGAACATCGACAATCCCACAGGGAGTTTTAGTAGGAAAAGGCATCTCTACCATGGATCATCCACCAGACTCTCCTGACTTTGGCTCCAGTTGACTTCTGGCTGTTTCAAAAACTCAAGAGAGTGCTGAAAGGAAGCGTTTCTTGAATGCTGAGGACATTAAAATATCTGTGAAAAAAAATCTGATAGACATTCCTGTTCAGGATTTTAAAAACAGTTTTGCACTTGGCTGAAGCACTGGGAACACTGTAAAGAATTGGAGGGTGATTACTCCAAAAAATTCTAGTTTGCTAATATCTGTAGCTCTTAAAATAAGTTTTAAAAAAATTAGTCTCAAAACTTATTTGCTTGACCTTGTATTCATAAACACTCCCTCTGTGTAAAGAAACCTGCTGTCCTATTCATTCTACTGCTCAGAAAAGCAGAAAAACATCTGTCTCTTTAAATTTCCTCTCTGTCAATCCTGTCAACTAAATGAGATAATTTTCCGTTTCTCACATGCATAACATGCCATAATTCAGTACAGCCACTGGCTACTGACACCTGTCAAGACATAAATAACTACAAGCTTAGAAGTTTCATGTGTATGGAATTATACTTTTCCTTGGGTGATTTGTGATCCAGCCTCAGAACATTACTTTATGCTGTGACAATAATCTAATAAAACAGACTCTTCAGATATCTTAACCCATAACTTACTTGTAAAATGATCTGGCATTCCAACCAACTTGTATATTGAACCACCACTGAGTTTCAGAGTGTGTGCATCAAGCCGTTTACAAAGTGAAACATCTGCTGATCTGCTTATCACATTGCTGGAAGCAGTGAACATTAAAAACATAAGAGAACATGAAAAATTATGCAAAATAATAGGGAGTAAGAATCATCTTTCTTGGAGGTGGCATTAAAATAGTGCATTTCATTAAACCTTGATGCCTCTCTAGTTACAAACATGAATAGGCTGTACACAACAGAGATGCTGATACACTGAGCTTAGAATATAATGTCAGAATGAGGCTAGAAGGGAAACAGTGTACAATGTGCGGTGCTGCGACCATATGCTGCAAAAAGCCTCCTTGACGTGTCAAGAACAACATAGTTTTAGCCCCTCCACAGTGAGACTCTGCTAGATAATAACCCAATTAGAAAACATATGTGAAGAAAATTTATTAAGCCTGAACGGCAAGTGAGATTTGAGGTAAATATTTATATAGATAAGTGGGATAATTAAGACTCTAATATCTAATCTGAAACTATATAAGACATTCAGAATACTGCTATAAAAATCTCTAATCATATACATAAGATGCTGGTTGAACTGAAGGTAAAATATGATACCAAGACATGGCTGTAGGGTGACCAAGCTGACAAAGAGCAGAGATGGCAGAAATTAGAACTCCAAGACTCTTAGCTGGATGTATTCAAATAAAAATAGAACATAAGAACTCACAATATCACATACATATAAGATGACCACATAGATAATCTTAGAATGGATAAAGACAGGTGGTTGAAGATAAAATGGATACATAAATCAACAGAACTAAGGACAAGAGGAAAATCAAGAAAACATTGAAGATGGAATGCTGAGGCTGGTATATGCATTATTATGCCCAGTACAGGGAGACAAAAAGAATAAAAATAAAACAGAAAATTTTCAAATACCCACTTGTCCACCTTCCCTGTTATCACAAGGCTGCCATTTCCAGTCAGTTGAAGAGACCAGTCTCTCCATTCCTTTGTGTATACATTAACTTCATCCCCTTCTCGAATTATTTCATTCCTTTCATTTTGAAACCCCTTTTCCACTTCACTGTTCTCAGTTGTACATTCTTGCTTATTTTCATTATTATGCACCTTGTTTCCTTCATCACATATTGTTTTCTGGAACCAATGATCGCTCTTCTCTTTATTTTTTAAGTGTTCCTTCTTGTTTAGTATTTGTGCCTGAAATTTAAAATGTTGTACTGATCAATACTGCCTGTGTGGGGAGGAAGCAATGAGATCTCAGATTGTGGAGGTTGGTTAGTTAATAGCTTATTTAACTGCACAACTAGCAGCTTCTCAATCATCATACAGCTCCATGAAGTTAAGTAGTTAGTTAGTTAGTTAGTAATTTAGCATCAGGATGAGTATGCATGGAGAGCTGGAGAGTTAGTCTGCTTCAGGATACTGTCTTGCACAAGAAAAACAAACAGAAAAATCAGTCCAGAAAGTCACTTGCTGCAGCCAAGATTCAGTGCATTATCCTTAGAATACAGATCAAGAAGCAATATATTTCGAACCAGCTCAGTTACACTGACGGAAAAGTACCTGTTGTATTACCAGCAAATAAGAAACAAATTATGTAGAATTAATTCCATTATAAGTAGAATTTCTCTGCAGTTACCTGTATACCCCGTGGCTTCAGTCCGCAAGAGAACTATACCAACCCAGCGACCACCACTTGTTGGTGAAGTTATTTTAAAATTTCACTTAGTGGGGGGTGGAGTCCAACTGCATCCACTCGGCATGGCACTATATTGTGGCCTGCCCCGGGTGATTATGATGATGGAGAATTTGGTGGAATGAAGATTGGACGGGGAAACCGAAGTACTCAGAGAAAATCAGCACCAGAGCCACTTTGTCCACCACAAATCCCACTTGACCAGACTCGGGATCGAACCTGGGCCGCTGCGGTGGGAAGCCAGCGACTAACCGCTTGAGCTATGGCGC